AGTTTTCTCTGACCTGTTCCACAGTTCAATCGCGGCAGATCACCCTTCAGAGCTTGTTAGATATCGAATCCAGAGAAGTGAGAATTTACCAGTCATGAAGCAACAGCAGACTGCTTTTAAACATGAAGCTTTTCCAGCTAAGCTTTCATGGGTCGACATGGTGGACCTCAACATCCATGTCGACTACGACGCTATCATTTTCCCTGTTGAAGATGACAGCCCCATTGAGCCGGAAGATGAATCAAAGATCCAGGGGGAATCAAGTCCTTCCGGCGACTTTGAGAGACCAAGATCATCGGAAGTCGAGCAGAAAACAGCACCCTCTGCTGGCTTCAAGATTACCCCCTCAGTGGAAGACGTGGAAGAGACAAACCAACACATCAAAGATCTAACAAAGCAGGTAGACGATCTTAAAACAGAGTTGCAAAATCTGATTTTTGAACTCCATCAGGAAAGAGACCGAAGGGTTGCATTTCAGGCTGAAGTCAAATCCCAGCAGGAGGAGATTCGAAGGCTGCAAACAATGTTGGAAAAAGAACGTCACCTGCAAGTCAAACGTGAACAGGTTTCTTGCTCTTCCAAAGTTACAACTGACAAGAATGTTCTTCAACAGCTGGAGTACTTCAAGTGGGAGGCTGCAAAATACGCCTCCCGCAATAAAGGTCTGATTGAAGTAATGGTTGAAGAATACCGAGTGAGACTTAAATATGAGGAGCAGCTCAAAAGTCACTCTGAGCAGGCTTCCAAATTTAAGGCTCAGGAGGAAATGGTGAAAGCTCTGCAGGGTCAGGTTGCAGACCTGAAGGTGGAGTTAAAACTTGCTCTAGAAAACAACCATGCTAGAGTCTCCACCCAACCAGAGCTCCCCCTGCAAACAGAGGAGACCAAGGATAGACAGACCTCCAATCAACCAGGGAGATGTGAAGAAAGATGGACCTCCAATCAACCAGGGAGATGTGAAGAAAGATGGACCTCCAATCAACCAGGGAGGTCTGAAGAAAGACAGACCTTGAGTCAACAAGGGGTCTCCAGGCATAGCCTGGCTCAGACTTTGCGCCGACCCACACTCAGGTTGCAAACAGAGGAGTCCATGGAAAGCCAAACCTCCACACAAACATGGAGGTCTGAGGAAAGACAGACATCCATACGATCAACCTCTACTGGTTGCATGGAGGGTCTTCATGTTGGCATTGGCACGAAGGCCAAGCTAAGTCCGGCTCGGCCTTTACACCGACCCACACCCAGGTGGCACTAACCTAGGTCACTATCCAAGCCCAGGTTTTGCCAACACTTTGCATTATGAAAATTTGAGGCTTTGCATAAATTTGGCAAAGCCTCAAACTGTTTAACAAATATTCTTCCGTCATCTAGCATACCTATGTTATGTTAGATGATGGATAAATATGTGTTAAACAGTTGACAATAGAATACGAAACAGAGAATTTGTGAAAATTAATTTGGCTCTGCTCCTGTCCAGAAACAGCCAATCAGAGCCAAAAGGCAAACTTTTGGTTCTGATTGGTTTCTAATGTGTTGAATCATTCAGAGTATCAGAAACCAATCAGAACCAAAAGTTTGCCCTTTGGTTCTGATTGGTTTCTAATGTGTTGAATGTGTCTCAGCACATTCAACGCATCAGACTACTAGTGTACTGCAGCTATGCAATTGGCAGAAAAACATCCTAACATTATATCATCATTTATAGAATGATTTAGAAAACAAAATTCTATACAGGCTTGTGAAAACTGTTTCGACTCATATTAGAACTTTGCATTGATTTCCCTTCATTTTAGTAGCTGCGATTTTGCCTAACCCAGACATTTTCCCTTACCCAAACCAATACTAGTCTATTCCTAACATTAACTAAACCTTAATTCACATCTTATCTCTAAACATTACCCCTGACCCAAAGCAATGAATCCATCATATTAGGACCAGTCTTTGGTCCTAATATGGTGGACCTAATATGACACTGGACATATAGTGGTGCGTTCACATCAAACACATTTTGACCATCAGGGGCATATGGTTTACATTCAAAGTCTATGTGGAGGCGCGTCGAAGGCTGTTGCAGTGCGCGGCGCCATTTGAACCGTTTGGAGCTTTTGACGTGTCTAGCGCATCCAATACTCCACATAGACTTTGAATATAAAACAGACTCGCCTGACGCCCAAAACGTATTTGGTGTGAATGCACCATTAGAATGTTTAGTTCCTATGGTAACAATGACATGAGCAGTGAT